ATCAAATCCTGGACCTGTTCCATTGCACCCATGGATATGGCCAAGAAGCCCGTGGAAGAGAATCCATGTGGATTTTGCGGTACCATTATTTGATAAGTCCTTTTGTAGTAGTAGTAGATCCCATTCAAAGTGGCCAGAAGTGTGAAAGATGTTATCTACTTTGTTGTCAAAGACAATAGAGGTACTGAAGCATCTATTCAGTAGGTATGGGCTGCTGGAGCAGCTAGTAAGTGATAACGGTCCTCAATTTCATTTTGACGAGTTTCACCAGTTTATCAAAAGCTCGGAATCAAACATTATTGTTCGGCTACTTACCATCCAGCCACAAAAGGAGCTGTAGAGAGATTTGTACAAATGTTGAAACAAGCTCTGAAGACAGGAAAACAAGCAGGGAAGCCAACTAAAGGGGTACTTTTCCAGTTCCTGATGAGCTGTTTTTTTTTCTAACCATGCAGTTACTGGTATTCCTTCAAGTCAGCTGTTCTTGGCAAGGCAGATCAGGACTAAACTAGATTTGCTGAGGCCAAGTCAACAGGATGTTGTGGAAACCCAGTAAGCCAAACAGAAACAATATCATGATAAAGGGAGAAAGCAGAATTATTTTCAAGTTGAAGATCGAGTAGCTGTCAGAATATATAGACATGATTTATTACATTGAAAAAATGGAGAGGTAGCGCAGATTTTAGGTCCCAGATTATTATTAGTTAAGTTGGATGATGGCTCAATGGTTAAGAAGCATATAGACCAAGTGCAGCATAGAATAGTAACATCAAAAGAAGTAACTGAAGATCTCCTTCAGGACCTTGACCTTCCATTACCAACCGCTCAACAAGAGGAAGAACCTTCACTTACAACATCAGCTGTGGATGAAGGAGTACGAAATTCCACCAACACTACACCTGTGGTGCCCCAGCAAAGGTATCCTCTAAAAGACAGACGTCCACCTGATCGTTTTGTCTGTTTTTAAGAAGGGGGAAAACTTTGAGATATTATTAACTACAATAATAAGGTGTACATGTATTTATTGTTATCACTATCATTGTTATTATTAGGTGGTTGTGTTGCTAGGTAACTATTATTATCTTAGTGTGGTATTTCCTCTAAATATTGATTGGGTTTTATAATTTTTTTGAATTATTTGCTGGACTGATTTTTGTGATCCTTTTTGTTTTGGATGATAAAAGATTGTCCTTGATATGAGAAGGGATCTTACACACACACCGATCCTCTGTTGCTTTATAATCAACAACTGTGTTTTTAATCTTTTCAATCCAGACCTGATGCCTTTCTTTTGGTGTCAATATGGCGTCAATAGAATGACACAGTTTTTGTGGTGTTTCCAGCCCATATGGAGATATAAACGATGATAAGTGTTTCTCAAAATATGCCACACTAACAAATCGTCAAGAACCCAATATCTTTGTCATTTTGTCTAAAGTTGGATATAGAACCTTTTGCTTCATTCTGAATGTTGAAAGAAGTAATTAAAGAATGATGTATTGCCTATTGACCTGAAGTATGAAGTGAAGTCTGATCGAACAATGCCATTGTGATATCTGGTATAGACTCCATTGGTAATGTAGCTAAGTCTGTATCATTCTTTAGAGCTGTGATTAAGTTTTTAATGTTAATGTAGCTATTTATTTGTGAATGTATGGGGTTCACTTGTATGATAAATCATTTTTGGTTGTTGTACTTAGCAATAGAAAGAGGTATATTATATGTCTGTGTCTGGAGAATACATTAATATTCCAGATGCATTGTGCTTGGAGCTATGTGTCCAGATACGCCTATGTGCCTCTATTGCATTTGAAGTATTGAAGTATAAGGCTCTGGAACTGTTTTCATTGCTAAAATCTTCCGGGGAATATCAGTGTTAGGACCATTAAAACATCCAGCTATGACTATAGACTCATTACCTTGAAGCCAATAGCGACCATTTTACAGAAAAGATACTCCTATTGCATTAATATATTCACATGTTTGCATTTTGTACAGTGAATAGCATTTCATCAATGAAGTGGAACACTTGAAAAGGGAGTAAATTCTTTATGCTCATGTAACTCGTTGTCATTACTAGGGTTGTCCCTCCTATGTTGCCCGAATTGCTAAGGATTGAATCTGTTACCGTGGTCTTTTATTAAAAATAAGATGCACTTCCTTTGTGAGGTGTGCTTTAATAAATCGAGTAAACAAAAAGTTTGAGTATTCTATAATTGTTTTGACACATCTCAAAGGTTTTGTATTTATGTTAAACATTGCATCAATTACAACTAACTGAGGTGATCTGTCACGAAAAAAATTGTCCCCGTGAAAATTTATCCTAGGATAGAAATATCACGTGATATTTTATGTCAGCGTCAGCAATTTTTTGTCCTAACAAAAGAAAAGTGTAAAGGAACTGTAAATCTTTGTGTTCGACTTCGTTCCTTAATCATTTATCTATGGAATACATGTACAAAGCATGTGGGACCCTTTATTATACGTTTAAAGTACATAGAAGAAGATTTCAGATCGAAGAAGGATGACAGACTGTGTCAAGAACCGAGTAAAGAACCGGGCCGCCAGGAAAGAATTAAGAGGATGATCTTGTGGAGAAGGCAGCTGTGTATTTAGCTGATAGAAAGTGTCCAGAAGGTTGTAGTGCTAACAGAAAGAGGCAGATATGGAAAAGAGCTGAAAAGTTTGTTTTCAGTGCAAAATGGAGAACCGTATACCAGACCAAAATGCTCAACTATATCATGATAGTGTAGGTGTTTTGTGTATTTTAAATAGTTTAGTTAGTTATGTGTATATATGTATGTACGTAGTATGATATCTGTGCTTTTGTAGACAAACTCAGTATGTATATGCATCTGTATTCATGATTTGAATAATTAAATCAAAGCTTCAATTATAACAAACTGATATATGATAGCTTGCCCAGCAATGGTATTGATAAATGTACCAGGGAGCAGATAGCAGCAATACCGAAATGCACCGAGTACAGGGAATTAAACTTACTGTTCGTAGTATGCAAATTAAGGCAAAATGGACAATAAGATTGTGGTTTATGTGCCCTTGCTTTAGCAATGTCAATTTGTGCTGGTTAAGACCCAACTTCTTGCAGCTATGTTTCACATAAGCTTCGTTTCCATCTTTTATAATGCTTAGAAAAGAATGTGATGTCTTTGTTTTCTACTTTTTTAAGAGCTAGATGCCCTGGACTATCCAAAGAATACAGGTTACCTATATACTGCCTGTGCAGACAACCTATAGTAATGAAGGAAGAATG